GTATAGTACTTAAATATATGCCTGAGAAACGCATAATATTGGCCCTTTAAATAAAAGCAACAATATGACAGGCCAATAAACACAAACAGCAGAGCAACGAGTTCATGCACTCCAGAAATGTATTTAAATGCTTCATATTGTCAACAGGAAACAGTTGACAACAGCAGCTTTTGTACCTGATTATAGGCCAAGSTGGGGGTGTGATGGGAGCTCCAAAAATGCCAAAAAAAGACACTTTGTATACATGTCCAACTTACCTTTTGCAAGTATTTTGGTTTTTCCCGACATTATAATGTAGAAAACTTCACTTTACCATCTCTGGTATCATGATGTGTATTTTTGTTAAGTTTTATCTGTGTGATTTGCTGAACTCTTATAGCTCCTTCCTCACCTTGTCCTGTTTGTCTCTCACTCAGCTCTGTGTGATTTTAGCTCATTAGCGTCTCTATATATTCTGTTTTCTTAGGTCGGGATGGTACATTTCCTAATGTCTTGTGCCTCCTCCCCCATGTTTTTCAGATTATTAGTAGGTAGAGTTTTGGCTGCCCCGTCTGCATTTTCTGTTTTTTAATAAAACCAGGTTATTTGGATGCATGTCCTACATGCATTCTGGGTTCCGCACCATTAACCAACCTGGCATCTGCTTGGTTTTAGTTTTCTGTTTTAGCTTTTAGGTAAAACACTTGTACATGCCGTTACTTCTTACAGCTGAAATCAGATCCTTGTTTGGGTCTCGCTGAGATAGCCACAGCTATAAAAACAGGACCAGACTGTGTCATGAGGAAGGCATCTGGGTTCAGCCTTCATGTTAAAGTGTCTGTTTCCGTTCACCGAAAACTGCACAATGTTTACAGTATGTGCAGATAAACATGCTCAGAAGGGAAACTAAAGGAGGCTTTAAAGCTGAATGTAAAATAAGAAAAAACTGAGTCAAATCAAGTATTTCAAGACTCTTACCAAGTAAAATTTTCTTACTCCATTGGCAGAAATTTTTGACTTAATTTGAGTCAAATTTTCAGACTAACAAGACAAATAATCTTACACATTCTTAAAACAAGATTATTATTCTTACACAATCAGTTCTTGTTTAGTRAATCAGTCTCAAAACAAGATGAAAAAGACTTTTTGGCTGATATAAGGTTTTAAAACTTGGTTTGGTGGACATTTTTTGCAGTGTACTTTTGTTACTTTTGTGTTGAATAAGCTTATTAAGCATAGCAAACCCTAAACTTTGCCATCCCTGTTTTCTCTTCCATCCTTGTCTTTCTGTTGTCTTCCTCTTGTAACCTCCTTTCCTCTTGTTATCAGGTGTCCAGCGGCTACCTGGTGGTGGTGTTTGTCTACGTGACAGAGTTCACCGGCATCAAGGTGCGCACGTGGACCTCCATGCACGTCCACGCAGCCTTTGCCTTGGGCATCATGGTGGTGGCTCTGACCGGCTACCTGGTCCGGGTCTGGTGGATCTACCAAATTGTCCTCTCCGTTTGCACGTCACCCTTCCTCCTCTTCTGCTGGAAGTTCCCCGAGACGCCATTTTATCTGATGGCCAAGGGCCGCTACAAGGAGACCCAGGCCCTGCTGGACGCCATTGCCCGTTGCAACGGCCTGGAGTGCAGGCTGAAGGCGGAGGATCTTCTGGAGCCGGAGAGGACGGAGAACGGCGATACTCTGCTGAAGCAGGAGGGGAAGGAGAGGCCGGCGCAGCCTGAGAAGAAGCTGTCCATCCTGGATCTGTTTGGTAGTTGGAGGATGGCGAGTCGAACCTGCACAGTTTGGGCAATCTGGTTCATAGGCAGCTTGGGCTACTACGTCTTCTCTTTAGGCTCCGTCAACCTGGGAGGAAACCAGTACATCAACCTCTTCTTGGCTGGTGAGGGACTGGCTGATGAGCTTTTAAAGTGATCCACGATTAGTTGTAACATTAGACTTTATTTAATAAACATATATTTTAACTGTAAAATAAAGACTGTAAAAATACTGTAGGATGTTCAGTTATTATAATTTTTAAAACTAAAAGTTTAAAAATATATTACACAGACGGGGCCATTTTATTTACACGCAAAGCATTCTGGGTAAATG